TGATGCAGGATTAAACTGAAATATATTGAGCACAAGCCTCATGGGCATATGATGTTTGGATCATCATTGTGTCATATGGTAATATTACATGATTTGTCCAAAAATAGGTTAAGTTTTGTGTAATAAATCTGTCATGTCATAACTTGTTAAAAATAATAAAATGAGCAAATTATTTGAATGAGTGAACTTTATTTAAAAAGGAACAATGTACAACTCAAACACAAATGTCACCATTTGATGCGCTGTACCTTATAGCAAAAGCTAATTTGCATCTGCATCTACAACAGTAGGCTTTCTGAAATAAGACATTCAGATTATGAGTGGTTGTTAGAGATGTACAAGTGTACAAAATATTAGGCCTTCAACGCCACATTAGCATGTCGAGGGGAAGGAAATGTAAAATCTCTAAAAAAACCAGGGATTGTCTTAAATGTATGTAGTGCAAATAAACTGATAAATCTACTTAGGTTTGTTGTGTTGAAGAAATAGTCAATCCAAACCACAGAGGGACCAAGACCCTTGCAGACTCGTATAGGTGTCAAAAACTGTAACCCCTTTCACACAGTGGCTCTTGGATGTGTTCACTAAATACTGCAGATTGATCATTCACAGATGAAGCCCTTAAACTGACCGCATCCTGCAAACGTCTGCACTTAAACACATGAAGTCAATATTGCAGAACCAGCAAACAGTAGCGCTACTGGTTACAAAGGAGTCCCTCACATAAGCTTACTCACCAACTTGACTCTAACTCAGCTGAGAGGAGTAACAGCAGCAGATTTGCACCCCCACCTCTCCGCCTGGGTCTTTCCACACACAACATGGAGGAGATAAGAAGGTGTCTCAGCCTCAACTTGTAAATGGTAAATGGACTGTACTTATATGGGGGCGGCTGTGGCTGGTGGTTAGAGCAGTCGTCCTCCAATGCGAGAGTTGGGGGGTTCAAATCCACCAGCAGTCACATGCCAAAGTGTCCCTGGGCAAGACGCTAAACCCCTAGTTGCCTCCGACGTGTGTCCCATTGGTGTATGAATGTGATAAAGCTCTGATTAGTCTCTTTAGAATGATTTGTTCAATTTTTGTATAGATCTAGTAGAGTGCTGTATGAATAGGTAAATGAAGGCATAGATTGTAATGTAAAGCGCTTTGAGTATTTCAATAAGATAGAAAGGCGCTATATAAGTACAGTCCATTTACCATTTATATAGCACCTTTCTATCTAATAAAGATACTCAAAGCGTTTTACAGTACAACACAATCTGTGTCCTCATTTACCCATTCATACTGCACGCTACTATATCTATACAGAGAATAATCAGTGCTTTAGATCACATTCATACACCGATGGGACACACATAGGAGACAGTGTCTGTCCAGGGACACTTCAGCATGTGACTGCTGGTGGAATCGAACCCCCAACTCTCGCATTGGAGGACGACTGCTCTAACCACTCAGTCAAAGCCACCCCTTGTACGTTATGTGTGAAACGAGCTTCATAGCTCATTGAACAGTTAGATTCACTGGATGGAGAGATGGAGAAGAAAAAAAACTGTTTATATCTCCATCCACATTTTTCATTAAAGGGCAACATCCAATTGATATTTTAATTAAGATATATTTGATGTTTCAGAAAAATATATTTCACCTAAATTTTCTGCCTTAAACACCACCACTACATTTTCATGTAGAGAACCAAAGCAATGATGTCATAGCCCCGCCTCTCATCTAACCAATAATCCAAGGGTGCCCTTTTCTTCTCGTAGGAGTTACATTTTGTCCCCACCGTGCACGCTTTCTGCACGTTTCACACCTTGTTTCCTGATTTTGGTGAATTTGTGTGGCAGCATTATGGTGCTACATACAGGCCTGTAGTTACAAGGTTTTGTGTCACGTTTGTGTAAGACATTTCTAGAAGTGCTTACAGGTAGACATTTTCTTAAATTCTTGAAAATCTGTTGTGGCAACTTCATTTCCCCCTGGATTAAATAAAGCTTCATAATCAAGTTGATTTTGTGAATCGTTACTGGCACTTTGATGGTTGGGCGGTCTTGAAACAGTCTAGTGGTGAAATTTCTAGGTCCGGTTAGTACCACTTTAAAATTCACATGGAGTATGTGTAACATAGTTAATATTGTATAGAATTCCACTTGTCATTACTTCCAAGTTTGGGTTCATGGGTAATGGGTGAAATAGCACCCCCTCTGGGAGGTTGGCAGTAACAAATATTGTGAACACAGACATCTCGTTGCCAGTTCATAAGAGATGGGCGCGAGGTAGGTTCACTGAGCTTAACGCTCCGGTAAAATATTATGTTAGCTTGATGCTAACTTGAAATGCTGTTCCCCGTAAGGTGCTGTACCCGCTGTGATGAACCTTATTCCTGATCAGTCCATATTCTGTTCCGTACAGGTACATATTGTTGTATTTCTGTCTACTATTAATGTATTAAATACTGCTGTTGGCCAGTTCATAAGAGATGGGCGCGAGGTGCTGTACCCGCTGTGATGAACCTTATTCCTGATCAGTCCATATTCTGTTCCGTACAGATAAACAACGTTTCATCTCACCCTGTCTCCTGGCGCTTATTTACACAACGCAGACCGGAATTATTCTGAACGATCACGATCATTAGAGGTTACATATGCACAAATTTTAAACCATAATTTTATTATTATTATTATTATTAATAGTTTATTTGACAGGGACAATGCACAAACATAAAACAGAACAAGTCTGTGACTGATGCATCCCACATAGAGTATATAGCTATAGCTAATTTGCGACTCCAGTCCCTGGTTGGGCATTTCTACGCATTAAAATACATACAATTTATCAATCAAAATACAGTAAGAATACATGCATATTCCTGTCTACATATTCATGTCGTCAACTTTACAACCTCCAAATTCATATAATAAAAACTACATTAAAATACTCATTTGCTCTGGAACAAGGCTCACGCAATCTCTTCCCTCTCCCTGATTTCCTCCTGCCTTTTTTGTTCTTTGTCTGTGTATCGGAGCAGCTCCTATTTTTTACACATCTTCCAAAATGAAAACTACAGTTATGGATCTGACCAACTGAACTTTCGACGCAAACGACAAAAGCTTTTCAACAAAGCGACAGGGTCCTGGAGAACCCTCATCTGCTCGGTCGACATGTATGCAGCTGGATATGTCTCTGGGGAAATGGAATGTGATGTGTCTATCTCTGCTGTCGATCGAGGACACCGAAATTGCATATATATAGATTTATGATAAGTTTCCTGTTTTGGGAATAGTCTGGTTCCTGCTTTATCAGCATACAAAGAAGACGGCCACAGCTAATCTGGCCTGGTCAGGCTGCTGCCTATGTGAAGGTTTGGTTCATACTTTGAGGACTCAAAATCAGCTGCTTTACAAGCTAAACCATAAGATGGAAGTGATTTGAATTGCAGACCACCTGCGGCTTTGGGACTCGCCAGCATGTTGGAACAACCTTGGAGGGGCTCGTAAGCACAAACCAGTAGAAAGCACCTTAATCTGGACATTTCGGATCTTGAAAGTACCAGTAAAACTCAAAGTTGACAAGAAAAATAGTCTGCCTGTAAAAATCGACAATTGTGGCTTATCTGAATCTGACTCCCCCAGTTAGCCTCGAAAACAGGCAAACATATCAATTTCTCCTGAGAAATGTGTAAACTAAGGAAAAGCTTTGTCCCCTGAACTTCTAGGCTTATCAGAACTGTGCCGGCTGACCATTATCTTATCAGGACAATCTGTTAGTGCTTCATGGACCGCCTCACTATCAAATGCATATGTAACATGTTCATAAAAGTGCTTGCTGGCAGTTTTTTTGATGTCTTAAATCGTGTCCTGTCAGGACAAGGTGTGAAGAGATCTTTTTTTGTAATGCCACTATCCTCTCCTCATGGCTTTGTCCTTTTTTTCTGTCTAAAAAATGTATTCTGAAAAGGACAAGAGGCCGCGCTCTTAAAGAGCAGCAACTATACGTGCACTCCGCCCATCTTTAGGACGACTGCATGGACATATTCTCACTGTATCTCGGTACAATGATAATAAAGCTTATTCTGATTCTGAACAATTTAAAAATCTAGGTATAATAAAAATACAAAACATTTTCCTCTCTAAGCCTATAGGGAGGTATGGGGGGTAGCAGAATTTCTAAGGAGACTATTCAAATTTGAGGTAGACAGGTGCTCTTTTTGTAACTCAGTATGTGAAACAACACAGCATTTGTTTTTTTCATGTCCTATATCAGTAAATTTCTGGTCGCAGATACACAGTTGGTTATCACTAAAAATCAGTAATGTCCCACATTTTGAATTATCACATATATTGTTTTATAAGGACAACCTTCAATCTTCTCTATCTGACATGATCAACATTGTTATTCTTCTGGGGGAAATATCATATACATTGTAGTAAGTGGAGGAATTTATTACCATCATTCACAAGGTTTATCAATGACTTTAAACAATACTTTATTTCTCTCAAGAGGCAGAAATCTAACATTTCTGTAAGGGTCTATGAAGACATTTCCAGGTTTTTACTTTTTTGATTTGTTCCTCGTGTAGTCTACGCTCTCATGATGGTACTCTGTCTTTACTGTTTAAATTACAAAGATTGTGAGATTTATGTAATGCCCCTTCTTCTTTGTGTTTGTTTTTCCTTCTTTCTGGTTGTTGATATGTACCCTCTATGAGAGTTTTGTATTGTGCAATTTGTTAATAAAAAAAAATAAAAAAAAGTGGTATGGGGGGGAAAGTTTTTTTTTTTTTTCAGGGGCAACTGCCACTCAGTGCCACCCTCTTGGAACCGCCACTGTCAGTGAAACTAACACGGCCGAATAAACTCCAAAATAAACATCTGGCGCAGTGAGGGTTAAAATTTCGTTCCTTGGACCCAAGTTTTGATCATATCGCTTAGTCACCGCCGTTAACCGGGGAGAAGCAGCGCCTCCCGGAGTCCTCACCGATTGGTTGCAGAGCTTCTCGGGGCTCGCCTTCCACAGACCGTCCTCAGCCCAGGGCGGGGCTGAATCCACGAAACTGAATTCTACAACCGGGCACGGCAGAAGGGGAACTCAACCCCGTCCTGTCGCTTCCATGGAGCAGCGTGGAAAAGCTCTGCGCGCGTAGCACCGGACCGGACAGCGGCTGTGGTCAGGATTTATCCATTTGGACCCAAAAGGAGAGAAACGCGTTTCTGTTAGTGGTGCGCAGCAGTTAAAGATGATGTGACAAACCCAGATCTTGCTGCCCGCAGTGGAAGTGGGGGGGAAAAAAAGAGGAGACACCCTATAAAAATCACTCCTGGAGATCAACCGAGCTGCTCGTTCTGAGGGTAAGTGGTTTCATCTCGGCTGTCTCCAATGGTCGCTCACGCGGAAGAGGCGCCTGAACGCGTCGTGACCGAGGAGGAAACGAGCTGCACGAGACGAATGAATTAACCGGTCAGCACGCGAGTGCGTGGGGTTCAGGTGGCACCTTGTGGACACGGAGTTCTGGGGCATGTGTCTGTCTGCAGAGCTGTCATCGTGACAGTGGCTCATTTAAAGTGCCCACGCGCCGCGGTGACTAATTATGGGTCCACCTTAAGGCCCAGTTTATTAAAAAAAGTGTCAAGATAGAGATGTTCCCGTGGAGTTAGTAGGATGTGAAATGCCATAAAAAAAAATAATAATAATTGGGGATTATGTTTTTTATACTCACATTTGGTCAAAAATCAGTTTCTCTCATCATGATCCCAAAGTCTGATGTTCAATCCAAACTGATAAGAAAGTTTTCGCTTCAGTCTGAGTTTGAGGGGGGAAATAAGAATATATTTGTGTCGAGTAACCGCACAAAACCTTTTACAGTTTCAGTATGACCTCACTTATCTTTGTCATTTCCTCCCACCCCTGCTCTTCTGGTTTTTGCTCGTCAGGAGCATCCTTCGCTGGAAGTGAGTCAGTATCAGCATCTCATTCTGGACTCATCTAAACTTCAACAACAGTAAAGTTACTTATTTATTCTGACATAAATACACAAGAGGAAGAACATTTGCCAAGTCCCTTCTCGTCTCGAAACAAGAGGTCGTTTGTCTGTGTGTTTCTGGAGATTTTAATAAAACTTGCAGAAAATAATCACTGGATGCAGTCGATTTGACAGATAATGTCCTAAAGATAGATCTACAAGCACTAACAGTCTGTACAAAATCTTTGTTTTAAATGTCATTCACTATTTGGAGTCAACTGTCTGTTAGCGAAATATCCCATCAGCCATTGGATGGATTTTAATGAAACTTTCAGGAAACCGTCATATATCGTGCTTCTACAACTGTTTACATTTTGGGAGCAGCACAGTTCAAGATGGCCACCACAGCTAATCAACATTTGCAAACACAAAAACAGCTGTACCTCGGTTGGTTTTCTAGATGTTGGGTTAAGAGTTAAAGTGGTAGCGGCTGAGAGTCGTTCCCAACACGTACTCTGATCGTGACGTCATGAGTGTGCGTAATTTTCAAATTTCAACCAAAACGGCTACAACTCTTTCAATTTCAACACGAGATGATCTTAGTCTAGGTCAGGACTTTGATTTGCCCTTTGATTTTTTGTATTAATATTGTTTTTTTTTGTTGTTGTTTTGCGCTAACGCATACTGTGAGTCAAACTGAGTCATGGTAGAAAATCACGATTGTCTAAAATGGACTCACCAGAGGTCAAATGTTTCACGATGACAGCACAAGCCGGCCTGCATATTAACAAACGGCTCCCTTGTTGACAAGTTAAACGCATCACCGCCCTGCGATACCTGGGCAGACTGAAGTGAAACTGTAGACGTACTGTATTGGAAACTGCTGACTTATGTTGGCAGACAGAACGCAGGAGCACATGGCCCAGTTTGTGTGCCCAGTGTTCCTGAAACATTATCACATGGAGGGATCATAGCTTGGGGTGATGTAATCGCACCAATAAAGCAAGGCCCCCCGACGTGTGATGGCGACACTCGTGCTCATTTTCTGTATCGGCTCCAACTGGACTCCAGAGAGAATATTGCCAAAGCTCATGCTTAACGTTTGGACTCATCTATAATGTCGTGAGGCATGGAGGGACCCAGGAGTCGGTTCGCTAAAGAAGGTTTATAACCTTTATTGATTTATTTGAGCTTTTCAGAGCGCTGTTGAGCAGACCACGCTGTAGTCATGCCTGCGTGACTCGTCTGTCTCAGTCTGGCCAAGTCCTGCGAATTCTTCATGGTGCTGCCTTCAATAGCCACAGTGCTCAGCGTTGTCACCTTTCATTTGTTGCCCTTCATTCAGAACCATCCGCCGCTATGAAAGAGCACTACACATTATTTAGTTCACAGCTGGGATGCTTGATCAGGCAGTGCAGTTTTCAGTGGGACTGAAAAGCAAATATGGATTGAACAATAAGCCTTCACAGACCTGTTCTCGAACTTGGGCGTACCCTCTCAGATTCTTGGTCGTTTTCTTCAGTTTGCCAGGCCAGAGCTCTGTCTTGAGTTCATAAGTGAGCGTCTCTGGGCTTGAACAGTTCCATGTGTGCAGAGCACATGACCCTCTTTGTAACTTCAGGCTGTTTTGCCCCCAAACACATCTGCATCACGGGTTCATAACTTGCTCGCTCGAGACTTTATTTTAGCAGGCAAGCTGAAGCTTAAATTTATTTCTGACCTGCTGAAATTGATTCTTAGAATTCGCTTCAAGAATACATGGACAGCACATGACGTGTTTACTATCATTGAAATGGGTGTGTATATTTAGCGAGTTCACTATTGATGAGGTCTTTTCTTCTTTCGGCTGCTCCCTTCCTAAGGGATTGCCACAGCGAGCGAATTCATACAAAGACTTGGCAATTGTTTTTACTCCAGATGTCCTTCCTGATGTAACCACAGATCACAGAGCTACCACAGCCCACATGTGTGGAACAGAGGGCTGCCATTCAAGGCATGCGGGGAGAAGCTGGGATGTATGAAGGGCTTTGCTCAATGGTCCAGACTGGGGCGAGTAAGGATGAAGGCAGGTGCGCTTCAACTTTCCTGCCCACATTTGTGTTGCCAAATCAGGGATTTGGACCGGTGACCTTCCAGTCACAGGCTCGCCCTCTCTTTACGTGCTTTTTGTTTGCATTTGTCAGCATTCCTCCAAGGAACGCTAGACTAAGCCTGTCGGGATAAACCACAAATCAGTTAATCGCATGATAAATGAAAATGATCAACCTCGTTTTCATTTATCGGCTTTGTTTCTTCGTGTCTCTCTCTTTCTACTGAAGACATTGGATGATAAAAAGCTCAACTCCGGTGCTCTTCACTGACCCCTCCCTTTCTCTTCTCTTTAAAATCCGTTTTAACCGTCCAAAATCACGTTTTTGGATCGTTAAAAGCAGCTAAGCTGAGAAGCTAAGCTAACAGGCCGACCTCTGGGAAAAAAAAACTCCGTCTTGTCAAAGCTCCAAAATTCACAGTTGAAACCCATGTCTTCATGCAAAAAGTTGTTTTTCTCTGCAAAAAGAAACCGAGAACTTGTTTACTGATTTTTTTTTTTTTTTTATTTATTTTTTTTTATTTTTTATTAGAAGCTTTGTGTGAGAAATGCTATGCTAAAGAGCTCAAAACACACCGAGCGTCCACCATTTTGAGAACCGCAAAAAAGGAAAGCGAGACAGCCCATGTCACGTCATGGGGCCTCCATACCATTTTTCTTAAAGAGACACTGCTCGCTCCCTCACTATCCATCCTTCGGTTCAAACAGTCTTATACTGCCATCCGGTGGTCAAAAAAGGTACTACGCTCAAAATAAAATTAACCAATCATCTTAAATTTGACAGTAATTACTAATTATTGTCAAGTTTCAAACAATATTATCGTTTATCGCAATAATTTCTGAGACAATGAATCGCCCAGCAATATTTGTTATCGTGTCAGGCCTACGCTAGAGCTTAATATAATTTATTTAAGACGCTGTCTTATTAGTTAAATTAATAAGACTGTATATTATTTCTGTTTTGCATCTTATTTTTTACTCCCTTAAAATAAAAAAAAATCCAAGCATGCCAGCGATAATTGACCCTGTGACTGAATAGCATTGATCAAAACTGTAAAAGGTTTAGACAGTGTCTGCTTTGTGTTGAAACAGCTACAGTTAATATTTGTCTCCGGGGCGGACTTGCAAACGCCTGGCATGGCGACACTACCTGCAGCAGTTAAACATGAAAACCAACCCGTTCTTCCACTTGAGAAACAATTTTGAATGCATTCCTGCATGGTAGATTAGTTACAAATGATCTTAACAATGGCGCTCCAACAGACACATCAGGTATGTCTAATGGAGAGAAGCCCCAACGGCAGCGTTTGATCGAGCTCTCGCTGCTACTCGCTCGGCTTGTTTGCCTTTGATGTGGTCACAATTTTGACAAAGCTGTCAAAAAAAAAAAAAAAAAGAACAGATTTCTTTTTTAATTCCATGTCAAAATTTAAGGTTTGTGGAAGAGAAAAGGAAATGGGTTGTCTCCTGTGTCTGTTGTGTACTTTTAAAGAGAGAATGTGAGCAGATTCTTTTTAACTTGTTTGTAGAATATAGAAAACACTAAAAATACAGTATATTGCTTAATGCAAATTAATACACAATAAGATACTTGTACAGTAGTTAATACAGTAGCAAGAAACTGAATAAAGTTGACATGTTGCATCCAGTCGTACCGATTCGGTAACACCTTTATGGTTGCAGCAGTAACTATGACAATGATGTCACTTGTGATGTAATGCAACAGCAAGACTATTTCAGGTCTACCTCTAAGCCTCCATCTGCCGGTGTGCCACACTGCCCTTCTCTCAGCACCTCATCTGTCGTGAGCTGGACAGCCATACGTGAACCAGCATTCACAGAATCACTGGAAACCTTTCATGCACAGGTTCGAAAGGAAAGTTGTAGATGGAAAATTCATGTTGGTGTTTAAACCAAGCCAACATTTAGCTATATATATATGAACAGATTTAATTTGGGATTGGTTGTGCTCTCACTGACATGGTGTCTAGTTTTTAACTCTCCTGGTAAAGCTCATTTTCAGAGCTGTGGGAATACAGAGTTTATTTTCCCAGCAGGCCAGAGAACTGGCATGGACATTCAGCAGTGGTTTTGTGAACTTTGACCTTCTTTTGAGTGGAAAGACCTCAAGAGTTGCATACTACAACTAAATCAATCTATACCTGATGCTTTGAGACAGAAATATACACCAGGTATGACACAAATCCACAAAAGAGACAAAAGTTAATAGTTTTAACAATTCAAAGCTCAATTGTTATGAGAAACAAGTGCAGTTTTATTTTTTAGATTTGGGCTTTTTT